CTAGCTCCCTACTAAGTGAATTGTACCTATATCAACTCGTAATCATCTCGCTCATCGTGAACCCTCGATAAGATATCAAGGAAATTCCAAACTAGAAAGAAGACTTTATATTACTTGCAATTTTGTGAAACTTTTTGTTTATAGATCATTGTTTGTAATAACTACTTGTAATAACTGTTATTGTAAATTGTACTGTTGTGTGTATATTAAAACGTATTTGTGGTAAAAACGAAAACGGTGTGTATCAATCTTGTTGGCAGATATCATAAACTGACTATACCTCGGCATGTATATAAATACTAAAAGTACAATTTAAAGTACAATTTAACTACTAAACTTACATTTATCAGTTAACTCGGCTTCGGACTATTCGAAATTCTAATACGTAACACAAACAAACACAAACTTAGCTTACCATAACGATCCAAACTGTATATGGATGAGTATTAAATATTTGTTTGTTTGTTTGCAATTAAGCACAAAGCTACACAATGGGCTATCTGTGCTCTGCCTACTACGGGTATCGAAACGCGGAATCTAGCGTTTGAAGTCCGCAGTGGTACCGCTCTACCACTTGGGGGGGGGGGGTCAAGAGTGTTAAATATAAAGTTACTCGTGTTTACTGTGTGTTTTTGAATGCTGAATGTTATATTTTAACCTAAAATGATAAGATCAAATGGTATTTCTCTAAACATAAGTGTATAGTTAAGTCTTAGTTTTCTATTCACAATAATCCCATCAATTGTTTATTAATGAGATACTTCTTTTGTGTATGTAACCGAAGGTATTTTTTACATATTCGACTGATAATTTGTCAACGGTTAATACATATCAGCATTTTTTTAACGTTTCCATGTTGCAAAATATCTTAAACTTGCACTAAAAAAAACAGTTATAAAAGACTTACGAAAAACTTAACTTTAATGTGCACCTTTCTAGATATTGTTAATTATGAACTTATTATAAAATTCGTAATGTATAAAGCAGTTACATTAAACTTTAACAGGTAGCTTTAATGTGCATCATTTAATTCACTGTTTATTTTACACCTATTATAAAGTTTGTAATATATAAAGAATTAGTTATATTAAACTTACACAGATAACTTCAATGTGTACCATTCTAATCGTTGTTAACTGTAAACTTATGAAGTTTTTCAAATGAAGGTTTCAAAGATCTTCAGATCTTATTCCATTAGACAAAAAAAACCTAAAATGAAGCAAGTGTATAATTATTATTCAAACTAATACATAAACCATAATGAAGCCAAACTAGTGACGTTGGTAAATTGTCAAATATGGTACAATTTATCTATAAGAAAACATAAACTTAAAAGGTCAAATAGAGTTATATGTACGTAGAAACCATGGGTTTGAAAGTAACTTGGTTATATTTAGCTATTTATAAACTAATATTGCTTCTTAGATTCTACTGAAGACATATAAAATAACATGTACCTAACCAACTTATTTCTCTCGTTTTGCTCACAAAATGAAAAATGAAATGAAAGAGAAAACCTACAAATTACAAAACAATTTATTATCGAGTAGCCACGTATCATGTTGTATCCTGATCATATCAATCAGTGACAGTGTCTCCTATTTCAATAAATTACTATTATTGAACTGTTCCCAGTGCATACCAATCACATCTTAAATAAAAAATTCTAACATTTCTATGGCTTTTCTTGATGTGTTTCGTAGCCGCAGTAGCTTGTGCTTATAATGACTTACAGTACTATACTTTCAAAACACCGGTTCATAACGGTGTAAATGTTACACAGTATTCCGCATTTTGTGGCTTGAGGAGGAAGAATACTTTTTACCCCTTTTGGTTTGTAGCATAATTAGGCATAGTCTTTTTTTTAAATGTTAATAAGCCTTGGAATAAAAAAAAATCTGCTTGTAAGGTTCTAAATACAGAATTAACGTTTTTATTTGCATAATAAATAACAGCTTGTTCTTAGAGAATTTTCAATTTGAATGGCACGTCTGGCGTACGGAGATAAAAGACCAGGTCAGGTGCCCCTAGTGTTTAGGTATAGTCATCCTTAAAACTGAACTACTGACCACAGGAAATGCAGCCAGCTAACAATACCCGCCGCCATATGAGCGTTGTGCGGCCTTTTTGTAAAACAGAATAACGAGACTGACTATCACTACTGTAACGATTCCACAGCTGAAAGTGCTGAAGGTGTTCAGCAGCATCATCTATCGAAACCTGGATACAAAAGCTACGCCTGATTTATTTTTAAGAGAACGATATCTCATAACATTTTCATTTTTTTTTACCCTACGTTCACACATACACGCATAACCTAGACCCCTCATTTCAAATACATTAACATATTTGAATATTTAAGAGAAAACACACTGCAATATTAATCCTGTAAAAATGTTTTATTAAGATGAAACTTTAAAACAACTGTTAGCTAATGTAAGTTGCTTATATAATTAATAATAATATTTTTTTTATTGTTTCACAAAGTAATATTCATTATTCTTTGCGCTTGTAGGTTTTGATGTATTTTCCTCTAGAAAAACAGTATTCTTCAGCTTTAGTTTAGAGTATTACATTTGGGGGCTTATGGCAAATTCTTTACATCCAACAACCCTAACTCAACGTTTGTTAGCTTGGTTTCATAGTGTTTAAGTATACTGATACTGAGGAAAAATTTTCAATGTTTGTTTTTTATTACTACTTGAATATTTGTATAACTTACAATTTTCATTATAACAATCTTACGTGTAAATACATGTATATGTGTACTAAAAGGAAATAAATTTAGATTGATTGCCAAGACTTTCAAAAGCTAATACTTTTAGCTTCTACTTGAGATTTCTTCCATAGCTACTTAAGTAAATTTCTTCAAAATTTATAAAGAGTTAACACAACTTTAGGTTTAACAATCTACACGCGTGTATTTTGGAAGTTTTAAGTTCAGTGAAAGTTAAATGACCATATGCTATTAGGTTTGTCTTTGTACTAGCTACAAGAAAGGCAAGAAAAGTTCCCTTCGTTAAGTACTTTTGATATAGATTTTGTACTTAAGATTTCTTTTGACGTTTGTTATTCATGAAATTTTTGACTCGTAACTTATTTTACTTGTTTCATCGTTGAGCATTTATATAATTATTTTTACTTTAGTCCTGCCAGAAAATATATTATCCATTTTTCGGATATGGTTTTTAACAAGTTTCTCGGTTCTGACTATTCCTTGGAATAACATTTTATTTTAGTTGGCACGGAATTTTTTGGAATAACATCCATATTTTAATGAATTAATCAATCAATTCCTTTATATTCAAAACGTTGTTTTATGTTATTCTTTCTTTTACATTAACTTTTTTTTGTAATTTTAGAAACTTACTTAAAAAGTTGCTTTTCGTAAATCATCCCCCTTCTGTTTCTGACACATTGACTTATTCTGTATTAATTCAGCTGGAAGCTTTGTGTGCATATGTGTCCAGGTAACGCCTCCTACAGTTCTGGAGCTAGCATGACAAAACTTCGCAGGAGTACTCGGGATGGCCGGAGAGGGGGGGGGGGGTCCGTATATATAATGGCGTAGCCGCCTTACCTAACATAGAGTGGCAAGAACACTCCCTGAAAGTCATACTTGAATGTTGGGGATCTAAAGAAGGTTTCCAGGGTCGCTGAACCACAATTTGGCATTGGGTTTTGTGTTTCTGGCCTTTTCAGAATCCCGGGGTCACATGTTTGAAACCGTGTTCATACATCTAATCACGAGCTAGCGAGACACGTGCACAGGTACCACGGCTGGTTGACTTACGGTATTTTTTTTTCGGGTACGGACCCCCCCCCCACCCTGGGATAACTACAGGAGTAACTGGGGTAATGGAGAGTAAAATAACCATTACATCTTTTTGTTCTGCTTCTTCTTCAAGAAACAAAACCATAAATACACGTAACTGATCTTTGTAATTTTACCTAAGTTTTTACACACTATTCAAAACTAAATCTGGTTTCCTGATTGATTAGACTATTGCTATCGTTCATTGGAAGCTCCAACACAATACAATGTGAAGATTAAGCATGTGAAGATTAAGTTGGAATTTGTTTAATATGTAAAGAAGTTTTATCCTAATTATGATTACTTTTGATTTACGATTTTCTAATAATTATTTTCTATAAAGAAACATTTATACTGTATAGAATTATTGTAAGCACTTACTTCAATAATAGTGAACTATGTTATTTAGAATATGCAGGTTACAGATAGAATTCTCAAAAGTGCTAAATACCAATTTCAAATAATACGATTGTTTAACGGAATATTATTCTAAACTAAACTGATACACTTTATACTTGAATTATAATTAATTATTTCTAGACAAGTGGTCATGATTAAGTAGAAAAAATGTTAGTGTTTGGTGCTTGAGAAAGTTATTCTTATAAAGTAATAAACTTGTAGTTTGAGGTTTTGAACTTTCCATTTTTTGTCATAATATTAACATTAACTTTAGGTCAAGTTTTCTTCATGACATAAAAAACAACGTAATAGATTTCACTCTATTCCAATTTACTATTGATTTTATTTTCAGTTACCAAGACAGCTTACAATATCAGAGTCTATGATAAAACTGTTGTCGTGGGAAACACTGCAGTGCTGAATTGCTATGTTCCACCTTCGATGTCTGAATATGTCCAGGTGACCTCATGGATCACAGATGATAACATAAAGAACGCTACTGTGTCGACTTTTAGTTCAGGTAAAAAAAGAATTTTCATACAGATGATCCCAATCAATAACTTAAAGGTATTACCGAAAGCTAACCTTAAATAACAAAAACTGTCTTCATGTAGGTAAGCTTTCCGACTAAGTTCGAATTGGTTTGCGTCTAAAATTGAATAAGTTTCCTTTAAAGTAACTTTAACTTCGATAACATATCATGACCTCTGTAACCTTTATCTAGTTCTCGACATTACACTTTCTTTGATATTTTTGCAATGCTTGCTTTAACACAATCAAGCAAAAGGACTGATTTTATGAGTTAAGAATACCATTTAAAATTAAAATGTATTTATGATTTTTATCTCTCACAAAAGTGGAACAAAATTTGTGATGTTTAATCCCTTAAAATAATAATAATGCACTTAATGTGAGCCTTAAATTTAAAATGTTTCCATAAGAGAGAACAAGTCCCCTAAATCCTCTCATTAATGTACAACATATTAATAGACTCTATGATCTGGGTCTACTAATGCTTGCTTGGGGCCTTCCACTTGCTAAGGCAGGCATTGTCTAGTTAACTAAATTATTTGCCTTAGTCAGAAAAATGAATTTAAAACAATTATTTGTAAGTAGTAAAAGAAAAGAAAAACCCAGCAGATTTCTGTAGAGTTTTGCAAATACTATCAAGAATATTATGTTAACTATAACATTTAAAAATTAAGTTGGCTGAAATCTTAATAAAGTTTTGTTTGTTTTAGCATAAAGCAGCATAAAAGGCTAGTTGCACATTGCCCATTGCAGGGATCGAAACACAAAGTATGGCATTAAAAAGTCACAAAATTTACCACTGAGCTACAGAGAGGAAATATCTTAGTGAAAGTTGTCTGTTCGAAGCATAAATACTCTTACACAATTCTCTCCTGATGTCAAGCTTATTGTTGTTGTTTTTTGTAGCTTTGTTGCACTGTAACTAATTTATATGTTTGTATGTATAGGTTTCACAATGTCAGTGAATATCTAAGCAACTAAATAACTTAGTAGTGTGACTGTCTTGTTCAGGTTAATTTCACATTTTCATAACCGCATTTTCAACAGAATATATTTTTTCCAATGACATGATCATCTAAATATCTGGAGATAGAATGTCACAAATGCAATTTTGTGAATAATAAGTAGATTTAAAAATATTTGTACATGAAAAATATATATTGATGTAATAATGCAAAATGTATCGGTTTCATTTTTTTTTACAAGAAATAAAGTGACACGGAACTATTAGAAAATTCATATAACGAACCATAGTCATCCATATCTTCCTAGAGATCCTTACACAGATTGCATACTATAATTTGAAATTAAAAATGAATTAGTTTTCTAATAACTCTTATTGCCAAGAGTAGGGTAAATATTGATATGCAAATTGATAGTTAACATGTTCCTCCCTTGCGAAATTTAGCAGCGTTGAAATAATATGATTTGTCATTTTTGAAGCTTTACTTTCTAAATTTCTTTGGCAAAATTAAGTAATGGTTGTATAAATGACTCGATGTTTTATATTTATATAGATTGTAATGTAATCTCATCATTCCCGTACTTGTTGTTTTATACACGTACACTGATGTTGACGGCTTATATTAGAATAAGAGTAATTTGTTAATACTAACTGCATTTCGATAAATGTCAGAAACCTGAAAATGGAGGAACAGCTGGTAATTTCTATTAGAAGAAATATCTGGATTCAATTATATTTCTATACCCTGTGGTTTACTTGGTGGATGAAGAATTAATTAAGTGGTTGCTGTTAACTTAGAAAATCGAATCACAACAGAAATATATTATAATGGTAACTTAATAACTTGTTTAGTAGTTTTTGGTCAGATACCACACATATATTTGGTAGAATCTAAGAAAGTTATATATATATATGTGTGCTTTAACAAAAATATTAAAATGAGTTTTTAAATCAGATCACTAGTTTTTTATTAAATCATTCGGAACTTTAAAGGTCAAATAAGGAAATTGAAAATACTATACATTTTAGTTCCTAACTGCACACTTGTTACTTGTGTTTGTGTGATATTTACTATAAAGTTTTTGTTAATTCTGTTGTAGCAGGCAAATACATTATTTATCCCAACGGTGATCTGCACATCCACCATGTGACGCCCGAAGATGGCAAAAAATCGTACGGATGTAGATCAAAAAATATTCTGACGGAAGAAATAAAAATAAGTGATAATTTTGCCAAGATAATTATTATAGGTAAATTTTTTGAAGTCTAAATGATAGAACTTTCTAAGATTATTAAACTTTAGAATTAGACAAATGTGTATTATTCATTACTAGTGTTTGAGTTACATTAAGGCTAGTGAGTTTTATTCACTTCTATATATATGTATATAATAAGTTATATTAAAACAAGTGTGTTTTGTTCGTTTCCAATGTTTGAGTTATATTACGAAACGATTTAGGTAAGGCTGTCTCCAATGCATGTAAAATTGTAGTATTTATATTATTTATTTTGTACATTTTTATAATCAAAATTTAAAATTACTAATTCAACCACACGTATAGCAAAATTATTATATGAATTACAAAATCACCAAAGATTGCATCTGAGTATTGCTAGTTTCCGTACTAACATCCTTAAATCTAAAAAAGCATTTTCTCTATTTTAAAACAACTATATATATATATATTTATATATTGTATCTGTTTGAATCAGTAAACAATATTTTCAGTTAAAATTATTAATCAAACATGTGTCACATCTACTCAGTAGATAACCGGGATTATGAACTATTGCATCTTATGTTCAATATGTCTTACAAAAATATTTCAATCATACATGTTTCATTAAATTTTTTTTCATCATAAAATCGATAAACAATTTCCTTCAGTTGTTCTTGTTCAAACGGTTACAGATAGAATTTAAACTTTTTCTTACAGACTTCTATGAGATTTAGATTGCTCTGTATACAATGTAATAAAGTTCTTAGAAGAGAGAAAATTTTTGGAAACTCCCACCTACGATTGAACTCTACACACAAAGGAAAAGAAAAAAAAAGACACATTTTGCCAAGGAAATGCTATTGAGTTCTTGGGAGACGTCGATTTTGCGTGTTGTGTAGAATACAGATGAATCGAAAACTTGGCCGGCTGAGCTAAGTTTTCCACCACACAGGGATGATGAAAAATCCTTTAGAGACGCATTAGTTCAAAATACCGTTTTTAAAAGTTTAAAGCTAAGCAGATGACTTTAACATGCAAACATTATATGAAACGATTATTATTAAGTCTAGAAAAAACGTGCAAATGTCAATGGCAATACAAATAATCAAATATTCGCAATTTGCTACAATAACTTCATAGCCATTCCAATGTGAAATCTCAAAAATACATGAAGCTGGAGTTTGTGAAAAATATAAAATGAATGTACACGTGAAAAAAGTATTAAACTGTGATCGGATAGAAAGTAATAAAGGAAACGCTGGTAAGAATGAAAATCTAAATATGTTAAATAAAAGGATAGCAGAAATAAACTTTCTAAATTAATAGAATTTTTCTTAAGAAAAGATCGAGAGAGATAAATTAAGGGCAAATTTTAGTATCATATAACAACTATGTCGGTGTTTTTGTACAAATTTGTAATACAAAATGTTTGTTTTAGACGTACTGTGTGTGAAAACATGGATGTATTAGATTAATAATAGCTCGGAGTAGTGCTGTAAATATTCCAAGCCTCAAACCAAAGATCATAAAAAATAAAACAAATTCACATCACGTGCTTCCTGCGCTAGACATCTGGCACTTTACCTGGTTATATGAGTTATGTTCAAGAAGACACTGTTGCTGTAGCAACCGTTTACACTTACAAGAACACAATTTGAAGGCTGAAGTACTAACTGTCGTTTCAATGTGTTGGTACCAGATTTACGTTTTAACTTTAGGAACACCTTAAACATGTCTTTCAGTTTGTTAGGCTTAGGAGGACGTAATATATGATTAGTGTAAACAAACAAAAGTAAAAAATATAAACATATAAATTGAAAATTGATACTCAGCTCACTTCTTATTTTAAAATTTTATTATTGTTTCGTCTTGTAGATACTCATTACGAAGTTTTAGATTTAGATGCATGGCAAAATAAAACGGCGAAGCAGAAAAACAAAATACACTTTTGGTGATAAGTTTTATCAGTATATTTCGCTTCTGATTTATTTCGAAATAGGCATTTCGGAAGGCAGACTCTACTGGATTAGTTGTTTAGTAAATTGCACTCTAAATGCTTACAGCTGAGCAAAGTAAAAACAAGATGGAATCCTCAATAGCTGCGGCTGTAATTGGATCTGAAATCGGTCAAGAGATTGAGCTATGCGCTAAAAATTTGTACTTGAAAAAAAAATACAATTGGGTCAAACTCTTAGTTTGTTAATGCCGCATTTTCATCTTGGATTTTCGGAATATTCATTTACTAAGGAAAGTAGTTCTGTAAAAGTCATGAAGCACATCTACAAGCCCACATATCAATCCTAGAACATATTAGTATAAAATTCAATTTCCCTTACTTGCACAATATGCTGGTCCTGGAAAAATACTGGAGTAACTTTTCCTATTTCTACAAGTAAAAACGAGTTAAAAAAGTTAATATACATTTATATGGTATAAGAGTTAATATCCACCAGGATGAATTTAAAAAAAAATACTATTGATGAACCAGTTAAGTAACTTGTGTGCAAAATATCTTTGATAGTAGCCATGTTTTCGTGCACATTTTCTTACTGAACACGAACAATAAGAATATAGGTTGGAAGACCGTCGTAACGTTAGAATTAGAAAGTACTTTTGTCATGTTGTTAAATGATTTTCATGAACAATAAACATATAAGTTATGAAACAAAGATGTTGTAAATGTATATCTTAATGATTTCCATACATATATAAATATATATATAAATACATATATAAATGTTTCACTCGGAAAAATTCGATAGTCCATCACTTAGTTAAATGGATTTGATTTGGATGCTGACTAATACAATATCTTCGGATGTTAAAAAGGGGTGTGTTGAGGACGAACATTTTTTTTAACATCGCTCTTAAAGCAAACCACTTTAAAGCATGTTTCACACAATACGTTTCAAGAGATAGCACAGGATGAAAACTTGCCCATCCTACTCATTAGATATACCTGTAATACCCTTAATCATTATTGTAGTTCACGTCATACATATTTCAATATCATCTACTCCAGTGATGCATTTTATAGCAGTTATTACTTTTGTCTGTTCATTTTACATCATTATTACTTTTGTCTGTTCATTTTACATCATTATTACTTTTCAGTTGCGCTGACAAACTTCTATATACAATTTTCTGACACGCTAGAACTTGCTTGTGATCAATTTTTAATTTTTTTTCTGAAAAGGTTCATGTTCTTATTCATCTAACTAACTGTTCACTTATTACAGATCCGAAGGAAGACATTGCTCCCAGTGTTACATCACGTAAACAGCAGGTGTCTGTTCAAAGCGGAGAAATAGTTTTTCTTCCTTGTGCTGCTCAGAGTCATCCACTTCCAACATATAACTGGTTTAAAATGAAAGGGTCACAGCGAGTCAGAATTCGCTCTTGGCCAAGAATTCAACGACATCATGGAAGTTTAAGAATAGACCACGTCCAGCTGGACGACGAAGGACGGTATCTCTGTATGGTGAACAATACTTTAGGCGGAGACTACTCTCAAGTAGAGTTGAACGTGTTAGGTATGTTGAAGCTGAATTTTTTTTAACATAATTTATTCCATAATGCCATACATTGTTAGTTAACTTAATCGTACACTGTTCTCAACTAAATCTGAATGTGTTAGGTAGTTATTGTTACATTTGGTACAATACTTCATTCCGTAGCGCTCAACAGTATTAGTTAACTTATCCATATGAGGCACTACTCCCAGGTATTGTTGAACGTAGAAGGCAAGGTTGATGTTGCATTTGGTACTAGTATTTCTTTCTATGTATTATTTATTAACGTATAATAGTATTTCCCTCTGGAACGCCACGAATTATTTGTTATCGTAGCCATACGATGTGCTCTGAAACTTTTCAAATTTATACTAGAATGAAAAGAAACCAGTTTGTGAATAACATTATTATTATTTTTTTCTATTAGAACAATTTTGTGCTTTGCATAATACAAAGTAGTGTCAAGCAGTAACTATAGTCTCGTCTTTCCAGCATACTTGTCAAGACACAACTTGCCAAGTTAGTGAATATGGAACTTAGACCATTCCCTGTTGAATCAGTCAAACTATAATAAAGGATGTGGCTGATATATATATTTCATACCCGGACAAATCATGCAGAGTTATACACTTGCGAACAAATAACAGTGATGCATAGTTTATACAACGATATCAGCTTCAACAACTCACAGATTGCCTCCTGAGAATCACAGAATGGCAATAGATTAATTTCTTATATGACAAATATCAGATACAGGAAAAACAACGATCATACTCTATCAAGTCATGCACGTTTAGAAATACCTTGAAATCAGCCAACCCAAATATGACGATACGTGGATCACGTCATTCAAAACCAACTGTATAGTTAATTATAAATCACATCTTATCAACTGACTTACAGTAAGACATTGTTAATATCTAATAATCAATTCAAAGTGTAGCGTATTTCACAATTTAATAAACAAGTCACTGTACTACATAACTCACACAGTATACAACCAACCATAATAGTTTAAAATGAAGAAGTCATTTACGAGTCAGACTTCACTCTTGGTCAAGACTTCAACGAAATAAAGGAAGTTAAAGAACAGGTTACGTCCAGCTGGTTGACGAAGGACGTTTGCTCTGTGTGGTGAAAAATGTCTTAGGCGAAGACTACTTATAGGTAGAGTTCAAACCACTGCGATACACAGTGAACATCATGTAAAATAATGCAATGACATTACGTATCTCGCATTTCTGCCAAGTCCACCATATGATACAACGATCATGCCTGGCAAAACATGTATCCAGCTCCATAAAATATCTGACCAAATAATGCTAATGCAAGATTTACACATAACAAATCAACGAAGACATTGCATAGAGTATGGTTTTCTCAATCAAATATAAGAAAACGTAAACAGCACTTTATCAAACCACTTATTTTGATATATTTCTTAGCGTCAGTCAAACCGGTTATAATGAAATATAAACATCACAAAAAACATTCAACGCAACATAAAACAGATTTTGCCAAATAAAACACGAAAAATTATAAAATTTTATCTTGATAAAAAAAGGAAGTATGTTATTACCAATTGAGCATAATAGATCTTTTCTGTCAAGTGCACTAATTCTCAGAAAAGCATAGATCACATCGCCAAGTCAAACTGTGAAACATTCAGAACACTTTGTGACAATGATTTGTGAACTTGTTAAATGACAGATTGGGAAAGATTTAGATCAGATTTTCGCGTTAAAGAAAAATTCTGTAATATTAAATTTCTAGAAATTTTGAGATTTATTAATAATCATCCTTTAAAAATGATTCAAATAACTAATTGTATTGCTTATGAGAGGAAAACTATTGATAAAAAATATAACAAATATTAATAAAGTATGGTATCTTGTCAAAAAATATCGATGAAATTACAAATCTTAATTCATTGTGCTATTATAGTTACAAAATATTGTGTCTGTTTCGTGCTGTGCTGATATATGTAGAAATTTTGTGTTTCGTATCGTGAAGGATGTAGTTTAGCGTGTTATTGTAAATTATACTAAATCAGGATAAACAGTACGTTAGGATTGTGATGGATGATAGTTCTAAAAGTACGAGTGTGGTTCAGGGTTATCTATTTTAATATAATTCCCACTTTGAACACTGTTTTGAATTTTTAATATTTTCACAGAGTTGTTATCAGATTTGTCCAACGTTCATCACTCACATGCACGTGATATCCACAAGGAATACTTGCACGTGCATAGGAGTTCACTGTGATTAATGGGGATTAAATTGGACTTCATTTCCCGGAGAATTACAATAATTACCTTTTGCACCACGAGTAGTTTTGAATATAACTAGGCAAAGCTTTTATATTCATTACCTCTTTCATGCTAATTACATGAGAGCCGGGGTCAATCGCACGCAATCACTAAAACAAACATTTTATAATATTAGAACGTAATAAGTGCTCTTATTAAATAAACTC